TTAGGGTTTAGGGTTTTTGTGTTTAGGGGTTTAGGGTTTTGGGGTTTAGGGTACCAAAAGAGTTTTCTTAAAGGGCGTCAAGGGTTTCAAATGTGTGGGAGTTTCAGACAAGTGACACGACCAGAACCGAACGCCTAGTAGAAGGATCCGAACAGAACCCCTATTCTAACTTCGAGGTCTCTATAGTACCCACTAGCAGACCCTTACTCCAACCCCCCTCCCCCCCCAAATCCCACAGCTTACTTAAACCCTAAACCCTCAAACCCTGAACCCTTAAATTAAATCACAACCCCGAAGCCCTTGCCCCTAATGCCCTTTCTTGCTTCAAAAAGGCAACCTAAACCCTGCAACCACCCTAAACCTTTAAACCCCAAACACTAAACCCTCCCTAAACCGTTAAACCCTAAACCCTACCTAAATCCTAAAACCTAAACCCTAAACCCTACTTAAACCCTAAACCCTAAACCCTACCTAAACCCTAAAGCCTAAACTCGATCCTCGTCAATGTCCATCACCCGGAGCCGGCTCTGGAATTCCGGGTCCCGCCGGGCTCCCTCCAGGAGTTCCTTGGGCTTCTTCCCTTAAAAGGGTGTAGTTTAGGGTTTAGGGAAAAGGGTTCCTTCAAGGAGTTTTAAGGTTTAGGGAAAAGGGTTCCTTCAAGGAGTTTTAAGGTTTAGGGTTTAGGGAAAAGGGTTCCTTCAAGGAGTTTTAAGGTTTAGGGTTTAGGGAAAAGGGTTCCCTCAAGGAGCTTTAAGGTTTAGGGTTTAGGGAAAAGGGTTCCTTCAAGGAGTTTTAAGGTTTAGGGTTTAGGGTTCCTTAAAGGGGTTGAAGGTTTAGGGTTGAAAAGGGTGCCTTAAAGGGATTTTAAGGTTTAGGGTTTAGGGTTCCGTAAGTTATTAAAGGGATTTTCGGGCTTATAGGGTTTAGGGTTTAGGGAAAAGGGTTCCTTAAAGGGATTTTATAGGGTTTTTAGGGTTCCGTAAATTATTAAAGGGATTTTCGGGTTCATAGGGTTTAGGGTTTAGGGAAAAGGGCTCCTTAAAGGGATCTATAAGACTCTATAAGAGTCGATTTCTATGATCTATAAGAACCTATAAGAATCTATTTCTATGATCTCTATATCACTACGAGAGCTATTACTATGACAAGGTTCTTGGATGTTCCAGGGCTTCTTGAGGCTTGGGGGTTGGGGAGGGTGACGGTTAAGGTAAGCACTGTAAGTTGTAGTTCCACAAAAAAACCCTGAACTCTAAACCCTCAGCCCATAAAAAACTGTGGTACACAGCACAAACTCTAGCCATAGTACTAGAACTCCTGTAGATGCCTTTGAAAGGGGTTCTTTGGAGTTGCGGACTGCGGCAGTGGGCAGGAGCAAATTCTGGCCATAGCAAGCCTATAGTCGATCCATTGCCGTTCCTTGTTTTGGTTGAACCGATATTATAAGGTTACCCAAGAAAGGAACTACAATGGAGACTACAGGCAGTAACTGTGCTCTGTTCAATGGAATTATATTTGCTTACACAGCACCGCTCGTACCCAGCTTTGAAGAAAGCGATTCCTTTGGCCTCACATTGGCCTCGAAATCTCGGAATCCTGCAAGTGCTTGGAGGGAAGCAACTCATTGCCTGAACCCTAAACCCTAAACCCTAACCTAAACCCTAAACCCTAAACCCTAAACCCTAAACCATTACATGGAGGGACTTGTGGGTGGCGTCCTGGTGGTCTCTTGCTGGTCCACGGAGGAGATGGAATTAGGCCACCCACAGAGTTTAGGGATAAGGGTTGGGGGTTTTAGGGGTTGGCTCCACTGAGAGTCCATGTGCCCAAATGGTATATGCTTTGGTCTTAAAGTGGTCGCCCCCTATATAGGTACTTTGGGGCCAAGTATACACTTTTTGAGTACATGGCCAGCAGGAATGTTGGGGGCTCAGGCTGTAGGAAACATCACGTCGCAAGAGCTCTAACTCAACCCCAAGAACACCACCACCTCCGGCCTTACACCTTGAAGAGCCTGTAGAACCCTGTTTCAACCTTACTAAGAACTGTTATAGAACTCTCTAAGAAACCCTCGTTGAATCGTTTACCGAAACAAACCTTTGAAGAAGACCCCAACCCGCAATACGTCTAAAGGCAAGGTGCATCAAACGTCACCATACCACTGCCGTCTGTGTCTATACCTGGAAGCTGCCGACTGTAAGGCGCACTGAACGGTTTAGAGTTTAGGGTTTGAACCCTTAAAACCCTTCGCCCCCCCAACTTACCATAACTTTTTTTGGAGGGCGAAGGGAAGTTCCATATTCAGACCCGACACAGAATTACATCGAAACGCTCAGCCTCAGCTTATGCTTTAGCGGGCGGAAGGGGGGGGTTCTTCTAACAGTAAATCTTTACCAGATTCGGAGCCATAAACTAAGAGGCATCATCATCATAAAATCACAGGCATCTCCATTATGACATATCACTTCTCTGGAATAAAACAACACTTACCCACGCCATGAAATAACATTTATCCCTGATAGCATCACGCTTATCCCTGGTAAAATAACACCTACCCTGGATAAAAAAACACATACCCTTGTCATCATACACTACATATCTGTGGCATAAACAGCACATAGCCCTCGATAAATTCACGATGAGCTATCTCGAATAACCGAATCATCCCTGGCTTTGTTCTGGGCTTGTGAGGGAGCCTGCAGGATGTTTCAGAGCAAGAAGTAGGGTTTAGGGTTTAGGGTTGGAGTGGGTGCTGTCATTTAACGCAAGCTATTGGGGGAAGATATTTAGGCTAGGGGTAAAATAACAGCTAGGTGGCCCGTAACAGTTATTGCATTCCTACCTTTGGGGGGCCTGTTGAGGGACGTTTGTGGGCACGATGTAGGATTTCAGGTTAGTTAGATATTGATATAGAAGCTCTACCTTTGGAAGATCAGCGAAGCCGCCTTACAGGGTGTAAGGTTTAGGGTTTAGACCACACCATTGCTAACATAGCGACAACCTTTATTCGGTCGTACAGCTAATTATCGTTTAATCAGCCCAGAAAATGCTATTTTATCCCACCGACCGGTAACCGATACTTTATCCCATCGATAGCTGCTACTTTATCCCATCGAGAACTGCTACTTTAGCCCACCGGTAACTGTTATTTTATCCCACAATGTGACGCTGCGGCCGTCTTCCCGCACACCAGGGTTTCAAAAAACTCTGCCTCCAAGCAAGATGCAAATGTCAGATCCTGACCTCCGAAAGTCCTAGAGCCTACCCATAGGCCCCTAAGTAGTTCCTTTATGGGAAAGGATTCTATAGATAAACCATAAAAAGGAAC